TATATATATATATATACATAACTTCTTTAATTTATTCCTTGTTCCACGTTTATTGTTATATATCTCAAATTTTTTTTTAATATTTCGAAATATTTTTTGACATTTATTAAGGTTGATTGAACGGAGTGTTTTTCCAATAATAAAGTACAATTGAAATAATGACTGGAAAAGGGAAAGCACAAATAAAAGCCCTGGTTTAAAAGCAATGACTAAAACATTTATAAATAATATAATATATAATAATAATAATAATAATAATAATAATAATAATAATAATAATAAAATAGGATTTTTATATCTTACATTAAAAGTTGACTATCTAAAATTAGTAAAGGAGTTGTGTTCACTACTTGAAATTTTGTAAGATATAATATAAGAGAGAAAAACACATTTTTACATATAATATAAATGTTTTCTTCTCTTGTAAAAAAAATTTTTGCTTATTTGTTTCTCTTTTTTTTTCAAGTGTCGCGCGTCACCTCGAGTATCATAAATCATCATAAATATATTTATATATAAGATACTTCCCAATTACGTTTTTTAAAGATAAAAATCAAAATTCATTATCACGTGGCTAGACAACAGCTGTTAGTTGTCCGCGCGTCGAACGCTATGATATTTTGCTTGTGTTGCAGTTGCCAAAAATTGAATATGACATATAAGAGAAAACAGATACTTCGCAAACAGTCGTACGTGGACAATCTGCGGAAGTGAGGACATTTTCGAATTTATAGACAGTCAATATTTCGACATCGACAAATATTATGGGCCAGTACCGATATTTAATTATGTTTGAAAATAATTCTAACTGTTTATAAAATTGTCTCGCATAATAGCGACCGTGAAAGCATATTTTGTCGAACACAAATGTAGAATTGCGATCAAATTTATTTTTGTCAAATGTTCAATACTTTATATGCATCGACATCAACAAGAAAGATCTGTTTTTCTAATTTGTTTCAATATTAATGAAATATTTATTGTACGCGCGACAGTTTTTAAAAAATGACACTTTATAGAACTGTATTTAGTACAATAAAAACCGTGAAATGATAATGAGTGTCACTATAATTTAATCTACGTCAACATCGCATATATGAAAAATTAGTGTCTATACTTGTCTATACGAAAAAAATTACAGTAAAACCGGAAATGCGACGCTAAATACGAGTGAAGGTACAGATTTTAAAGCTGTTTCTATAAAGCGATTCGAAATGATCAAATGCATTGTTAGTAGAACTGATATCTATCCTTTGCTTAAAAAAAAAAAATGCATATAATTTTTATATGTAAAATCAATTTCATAATATATTATATATATTTAATACAGAGAGAATAAAAAAAAAATATATTTTTGTTCACAAAGATATTTATATTAACTCTTTTTCAACAGATCCAGTTACTTTATTGGTGTTTATTTGTAATATTTTATTTATATTACAACTTTTTCGTTCTTCTCAAAATAGTGTTATATTTTTCATTGTAATTTTCTTATCGAGTTACTGAAAAAAGTTCGAGAAGATGAAAAAGTACCGAAACATTTAACATCTTTTTATTATTAATTCTTCATGTAATCATATTTATGCATCTAGAATTGTATTTAAGCTCTAATTTTAATCCTCTTATTTCTGTATATATAATTTTCTTATATTATAATTTTATGTCATAGTTTCTTTTCATAAATTTCTCTAACAATATAGAGATTCCGCACAAATTGATATTTTGCTCGCGATAATGATGGTTGTCATAGTTCATTAATTATGCGTTAATTCTTACCAGCCAGCGCATTGTTTATCAACGTAAGGCGATTTTAATTTAAAGCCGTCAACAGCGCGCAGCCGATAATCGGGAGAAAATTTTTCGATTATCTCTGTAATATTATATGAAATTTGTTTCATGGAAGAATTGTATGATCTTTTTCAGACGAAAAATAGATATACGTGTTCACATTTATGTCCGAAGATTCGAGCGAAGAGTAAGTTTGGCTCTCATGTTACATCTCGTCCTCCCCGTAATTTCACCCGCCGACAGACTAGACGTTATTTTGGCCATCGAGTTGATTTTTGTCATCCAACGACCGGTCCTCCAAGCCAGCTGGCAGTAGGCCCACACCCCGTTTTACCCTTTTTCGCCACGTGCAACAGTCTAAGCTAAATGGACACACGTGAAAGCGGACACTTTATTTTCGTACGGTTATACGCATTTGTCGATCGTCGAGCGGCTATTCATTCCAAATTTAACAGATGTACAAGAAAACGCGTGATCTCCCCGCATTTTTGCATACAACTGAGACAAAAATTAATGTTTGTCATGCGAGCATCGCTCGCTCTGAATTACATATATGTAATTTAAAAAAAGATTTTACGATCAGCTCGAATATTAAAATTAAATAATACAACTTTAAAATTTGCAACTTTCTTGTTAAAGCAAGTCTAATGTTGTCTAAAGTAATGTCTAATCTTACAAAACCTCGCCGCATAAATTGGAAATACGCAAACGATTCCAAGAATACAAACTAATAGATCAATCTTTTTATGAGTAAGTAAAAAAAACTACTGCATATATCTATAATTTTCAGACTTGAAAGTGTGTTAATTTTGTTTTTACATTTCCAAAAATAAATAAAAACAAATTTGTTACGCAAGTATGATAATTCCAATGTAAGAGACATAAAATCAATTTATACCAAAGAGTTAATCTGTTATTTTGTTTATATTAAAACTCTCGCAATGTCAGTTTTTGAATCTAAATGAGATAATGCCATTTATTCTTTGTGTCTTTGCTCTTGTTAAATCACAAATAAAAACGAACATTATTATATTACGAGACTTCATAAAGAAAAAGACCTAATAAAATTTTTTGGAGTCGAAATTACGACTATAATATTGATTTATGATTAATCGCCATCGATACAAAGTTAAACGTAATTTAAAAACTACAGAAAAAAAGATTTATATGCAAGATGATCTATATTTTTTCTGAAACGGCATCAATATAACCGTATATTTCAGTTTCATTTTTTATTCTTATTCGAGCTGCAATTTATATCCCAAAAGGCTGTCATCTAGTAGTGACGGAAGCTTCGCTTATTCCCATCTAATCGTTATCTGCTAAGCACGAGATAATCCTAGTAACGCTGATAGTGTCATATGATTATCTACCATATAAATATTGAATGGTTTTTTTTTAAAACCCTGTATATATATATTGTACTACTGTATACAATATATATATATATATATATATATATATATATATATATTGTATATATAACATATGTATTCTTAAAATAACTTGGAAAGTTGTCTGTCATATATACGAGTTTTGAGAGAAGTAATAACGACTTTGCTCCGCATAATGTAAATGCTGCTCCGCAAATTCCAGGAATACATTACCACGAATGTGATAACACCCGAATCGAAATGCAGACGAAGTTTATTTCATCATTCAATAAATATAATCACTGTTCATTGTAAGACTAAAGTCTTTAAGCAATTTATTCTCAACAAGTGTATTTTTGTTATTTAAAATCATTTTAATATTATTATATATGCAATACATCAACTGTATCCATTTTCTAAATGAAAGATTCGGAAAAAGAATTTGATAAGGGCACTTTTTTGAAACGATAAATTTTGACAGTATGTGAAGGTGTAATAATATAAACTTTTCAAATTAAAAATAAACACACACAACATATATTTTGTTTTTCTAAAATTATATGAAAATTACTAATACAAATGCAATATTTTACGAGGATCTAATATCTCCAATTTTAAAATAGCTCTATTAAAAAAAACAAAAAAAAAAAAAAAAAAAAAAAAAAAAAAAGATCGATAATCATCATCATATTATTTTCTTCTCTCTCTCTCTCTCTTCTTTAGATCCTTCAAATATAATTTAAAGCAATTTTGCACACAACGACGCTCATGCACGCGCAACAAAATCCCGGAGAATAACGTAAGATAATATTAATATAGGATCAATTTCCGGGTAAGATCATCTTGTCCCTTACCGCGAAATCGAGAATGACACGCTAGGGAGTAAATCCCATTTGTTCTAATTTCGCTTCCTGCTGGCCTTACAGACTGTATCGCGCCTATATGCACGGTTACAAGCTGATTTATATTGGCAAGCAATGTATCCCCCCCCCC